GCTGAGAATTTGGTTGCATGCTTCATCACACAAAGTCATCTTTTAGCAAAAGTTCAGTTAACTGCAATTATAAATATATGTGCTTTACGTCTGGAAACTCAAGCTTATTTGTGCATTCAAATCATAATTGAATAGCTGCCTCAGCTTTTCCAAGTTTCCAAACCTTGGAATACTCTCTTCTGATCTTTAATATCTGAATTGGAATGTAAACTATTTTGGTAAAGCCCATTTGACTTTGTTCCCAACCACATGGTCTCCTCACTGGATTAAAACTCAGGAAAACTAATTTTAAAAGAGAAATTGAGATGGAAACTCCTCAGCCCCTGAGATACACCCCCCCCCTCTACTCCCAATAGTAAGAGAGGTGAATAACGGAGCTGAACCAACAAAAATTTCCTTGCTGCCAGGTTCCCTTCTGTGTAAGGCCAGGAGCCACTGGAAGTGATGTTGGGAAGCCCAATGTAAATTTCACTCCATCTCTGTTATTAAAACTCAGTAAGAACAATAGTATTACCATTTATAAATATACACAGTCTTTGGATTGAACACTGATTACATACATTACCGTCATTATCAGGAAAGAGAAAACATAACTGGTGATTAAGTGTGAATTATATATTGGATATTTTATTAACTTTATTTTATTACATTAAAGAAAAATTAAACTCAAAGCAATGAAAGAGTAACAAAGCCATTAAGGCAATCTCTTAGTCACATTGCTCTGAAAACAGATCCATCAGTTAGGAAATTGGGGCAAGGCTATCTGTTGTTTGTGTGTATGCTGTTCCGATGTGCCCCCAAGCTCATCATCTTTAAACAGCTCCTATGCAACTACGACATATAAAGCAAAAAACCTTTCTTAAAAAGAAAAATCACAAGATGATAACTGTAAATAAACATGGAAATTTTTTTAAAAAAATATCTTTCTTACTGGAATCAAACTCAATAATTAATAATGTCTATTTGCCTTTCAATACAAATGCTACTTTAAAGCTTTGGGTAAGTAATGGTAATCAAATTGAAAAATGAATTTAGCTGTTATTACCAACAACATATAAACCAAAATATATGTGAATTGGGCTTTTAATAACTATTTTAGCACCTGAAGAGTGACTGTCATGCTCAGATATAAACATCTCCTGCGTAAATAGTCTGTTTCTGTAATATGCCATTCCAGGGAAAGTGGTGTTGTGAATCAGTTTTCAAGCAGTCACTACATCTTCTTTCACCAATAATGTGGTTCTTTTACTAATGATAATTCAAAGAATTTTATAAGGCTTCTTAAATTCCATCCTCTTCCTCTGTGGAAGTGAACATCTCAGACGTTGTGGAAATCAAGGCAGCCAATTTAAACAGCTAATTGAAGCTCAATTTATCCTGCACTATCTGGGAATATAGAATCAGAAGGAAAACACTTAAGGGAAGAGCTGAGATTTCATCTTGATTATTTAGCTCCCAAATGGTCCAAACTGAGTTGGTGGCAGTTTCCAAAGGCACATTTCATTAAATGTTGTACCTTTTGGTGACCATAGCCTCTGTTCTAGGCTAATAAAAAAGGATCTCAAAGATGCTAATGATCTATTTTATACAGATTTCATTGCAACTAAAGATTTACAGCCTCAAAAACCTAATTGGAGTCTCTATGAGGCAGAATAGACTGTTGGGCAGTGATTTTTTTTTTTTTTTCAGTCAAGTCTAATAAGTAGCTCTGGTGGCATAGAGGGTAAAGCATTTGGCTGATAACCAGAAAGCTGGTGGTTCAAACCCACCAACTGCTCCACATGAGGAAGATGAGGCAACCTACCTCTCTAGAGATTTACAGTCTTGGAAACACAAAGGGGGTTGGTTTGAGTCAGAATCCACTCGATGTCTGTGTTTTTTTTTTTTCCCCGTGTTGGGTCCTAATTCACTATTTGTACCAGTTATGTTTAAGAATGCCTCCCAACAAAGTATGTATATTTTATATTATGTTAATACTCCTAAGTATAGGAACTTCTCAACCTCATAGTTGTATTTTATTTGTCAAATATTTTATAGTTCTTCAAGTAATTCCTTTCCTGATATACATAGAAATCATATGTCCTCCCATGCAGGAAAATGAGGTAAAATATCCCACAATGTGTGCATGTGTACTTCTGTGCACACATGTGCATGTCTATTTATACATGTATTTATGTAATTGAATATCATTTCTTTCATTCAGTTGTTAGGCCATCACAGGGAAAACTTTCCCTAGAATGGTTTAATAAAAAGGGTAAGACAAGAGACTAGAATCTTCTTTTGGAGTCAAGAGCCTGTGTGTTCACCCCCAAGTAATAGTTTTGTGTATAAGAGAAGCATTTATAAGGAAAAAATTAAAGTGGGGCAGAATTTGTGGGAAGAAAAAGAAATTGAATTAGAATGAGGGTGGTGAATAGATGAAGACAGGATGGTGGGGGATAAAAGAAAATGAGCTCTGGTTTTCTTGCTTCACATGTCCCTAATACAGTGGGATTTAAAACTAATGTTTTAAAAAACTTTTTTATTGTGATTTGGTGGTTTACAGAGCAACCACTTCTCCATTCAACAATTCTTACCCATTTTGTTTCATGTAATTGACTGCAATCCCCCTCTACAATGTGACATCACTCATCCTGCTTCTCTGTTTCCTCTTTCCATTCCTCTTTCTTTCCCATTCTTTTCTGCTTTCTAAATATTGTTCCTGGGCAAATGCTGCCCTTTTGATCTTGAATGCTTAATTGTTCTAAGGAGTATATACCTCCATGGTGTTATTGTTCACCTCATAGACCTATTGTTTGGCTGATAGTTAAGCCATGGGGTTTGTGGGGACATAGGTGGGTATGGGGGTGGAGAGAGTGAGTTCACTTCTAGATTTGATGGGTAACTAAGGGCCATAGTCTTGGGGGATTCCTCAGTCTCTATCTGACTAGTGAGTCTGGTCTTCGCGTGTGTGTGATTTTGAGTTTTACTCCACATCTTGCTCTCACTCTATCTGTCGTGTTGTTGTTATGTGCCGTCGAGTGGGCCCCAACTCATAGAGACCCCTCCTTGGGTTTCCGAGGAGGTATCACTACAGAAGTAGATTGTCCAACCTTCCTTCCAAGGAGTGGCTGGTGGGTTTGAACTGCCAGCCTTCTGGTTAGCAGTCAAGTGCCTTAGGCACTGTGCTATCTAGGACTTTCAAATGTGATCCCTTTCAGAGCCATTGGTAGTAGTAGCCAGACACCACCTAGTTCTTTTGGTCTCAGGGTCACTGAGGCTGAGGTTCACATGTTCTATTAGTCCTTTGGACTAATTGTAAAACTGATTTTTATCATGAAATTAAATAAAAAAAGGTATGTTTAGCTGAAGCTTTTTTTTTTGTTAAAATATGCTTGAGAAGCTAAATGTACTACAATGATTTTTAAAATAGCACAGTTACATTTGATTCCTTAGACATAGGGAAATAATGATTTAAATATCTAACATTTATAAAATAATTTATTGTTTTCAAAACAGTTTGCATGTATATCTCATTGACTTTTATGCTATTTTAAATATGAATGCCATATTCATACAAGTGGCAACGCATAGATGATTCAATGCAAATCTATCATTTTGGTACCCTCCCCAAGTAGAGATAGATGTATTATTTTACAGTGGGGATGATAAACAATATAGTGACTACCATAGCTCCCTGGGCTTTGGTGCCTTGAGTATGGGCTCTGACTCAACAACCCCAATTGTAGACAAATTGTCTTCAACTATAAAATGGAAATAGGAACACTTCTATCAGGATGTTGAGAAGATTTAATGAAATGTTGTAAATTAAACACCAGTACAGTGCCTGTCTCAAAATAGGTACTTAGTATATGATAGCAATATATGTGTATGTAAAAATAATATTGTGTGTGTCTGTGTGTGTGCATTTGTATGTATGTATCTATATATAGAGAAAGAATGAGAGAAAGAGGGAGGGAGAGAGAGAGCAAGCCCTGCTGGTGTAGTGGGTAAGACATTTGGCTGCTAACCAGAAGGTCAGTGGTTCAAATCCACCATGAAATCCACCACTAGCTGCTCCATGAGAGAAAGATGAGGAGATCTACTTCCAAAAAGATATACAGCTTTGGAAACTCAATAGGGGTTGATATGAGTCCGTTTGAATGGGTTACAAATATATATACATATACACACACAATCTAATAAACTTAATCCAAATACAATTGAAAATTTACACAATATGGACTGTTAAATGACTTCAACATATTGAAATTTTGCTTCATAGATGGAACAATGTATTCATGTGTCAACTAGTATTTATTAGTTTTACATAATATGAAAAGGAGGATTTCTTTAGGGCAAGTTTGGGAACTATTAAGTAGCTAAGTGGACTGGGCCAAGCATGGATTTTGAAATCTGACCTAATTTGACACCCAGATGATCTACATAGACGCTAAGTGCATTTAAGAGTTTGGAAGATTTCTGGACTTCAATTTTTCAGCTGATAAATATGGGGGATATTTAGTACTGTTTACAATTGTCAAGGATTAAATAAAATAATATATGCATGGCCTTTGCACATAGTATAGGCTCAATAAGTATTCATTTCCTTCTCTGATGTACACTGCTGGATTTATCTTTTTCAGAAGGGAAAGAATTTCTTTTGAAAGCTCAGACCTAGGTAACTTCAAATGGTAAGCCATTTATTGTGTTAATGACAGGTATCAAAAACTAAGAGAATGTCCTCTTAACTAAGCCCTCAGTACAGCCACACAGGCCACCCACAGTAAGTGTGATCCTATCAACTAAAGATTCAGAGACACAAAAATTACAGAACCATCACTGGTTGATTCCACATCTAGCCAAAGTGGCCCATCAGGTATGGTAGGCAGGTGTGGACAATTTTATTTTTCCATATTTCCACTCCAAAGAAATGAAAAGTCACTGCATGTTTCCACTCTTTAATAAAGGTAATCACTCTCTATTCATGAAGTTCCCAGCTTAGACAAGAGGCAGACAGCTGTGAGAGATATGTGAAGACATATTTCATTTTTATTATCTTTTAGGCATAGACGGGTATGTTAATCCATTTCCACATACAAGTCCTGTAATCACAGATATAGAGTGAACCTTGAACTGGCAAAACCTGTATCCTGTTGTCAAAGAGTTAAATTGGAGAGAAGAAACCTCAGAAAATGAGGACTGTGAATTATCTTTTCCCCAGCATTTCTGTGTACTTGGCTGCCATTACACAAAGGAGCCTTGCTCTTTATCCAGGAATTGCTTCAATGATAATGATGCTGTTCCTTCTTTCTGCTTTTTGTCCATGGCTCTCCATTTCTCATTTTCTTCTCTCTAGGTTCTGACAGCTGTTTTTCGGAATTAGTTAACCATTGCAAGTGGAAGCCAAGAAATAATTACAGTATAACCCTCTCTTTCTATTGTCATGTTGCTTCTTTCCTCAAATACATCTTAGAAGTTAGACTTTGAAGCTTTGATCTCCCACACCAAAGAAAAAAGGAAAAAAAAAAAAATTATATGGAAGTGATTTCTTTGTAGTGTTCATGGTTTATTGTGGAAAGCAGATGTTTAAAACTTTTAGAATTTCTTTAACAAAATTCTAAAGAGAAATTGAAAAAGAGAGAGAGAGAGAGAGAGAGAGAGAAACCACAGTATTTACAGAGATAACAGAATGGCTTTGCTATGCAAAACAAATAACTTTGGTTTTTCCCCTTTTACTTTGGTTTGAATGTTGACCAAGATTCAATTTTTTCCCTGCCAAATAAAACTTCAATAAATCAAAGTTTAGAGGCAATATAACACATTTTCTTTTTTCCCCATAATATTTTATACAGCATTGAGTCTAATAGGATACTTTATATATTTAATCCATACCAATGCACTACAGGAAGCTTTTATTAAACTCAATTACTATTGCCCAGACATTAAACGGTTTACAAATGCACAATAACATGTGTTTCTAAATAATGCGGAAGTGGCAAAATACTATTCTTAATTGCCTTCTGACTTTAATCTTCAATTTATCTTCATTATTTTCTTATTTTTTATTCCACTTGTCTAAACAATGAACACCAGTTTTCCTTTTCCCCATGAAGAACACAGATCTATACTTGGAAATCTGATGTTCAGTTTTTTTTTTTTTTTTTTTCTTCCTATAAAGTTCTGTAAATCCTGGGACAAAAATGGCTGTGCAATGTTCTCCCAGAAAGCAAACTTCTGCTTGAAAGAGCAAAGTTTAAAAGTCTAATCACAAGTAACTATTGGCCCATGTCCTGTCTACTTTGAAAAGTTTCCATTTTCACTACCACCCTAAAAAGCTCCTCAAGCATAAAACATGTTTATAAAGTTACAAATTTGAATGTAACTAAAGATACATAGACATTTTATTATTACACTTTCATGTACTGTTTGATAAATTATGTACCAGTTAAAAACACTAAATTATCTCAAGGTGCATTCAATATCTGTAGTGTAGTTAACAAAAACACACACGAAAAAAATATATATTCTATATTCTGTGGAAAATAACACAGCTTTGATAATGACCACTGTTAAAAATCTCCAATTCTGACTGATATCTTTTCTACAAGGAAATAGGTATAATTTTAAGGCAGTGGATAATCCAAAGGATTTAAAACCAATTTTTAACTACTGTGATTTGCACTGTGGTTTATGAAAGTGGGAATGTTATCCATGATTTTTTCCAAACTGTCTCTCACATATTGGTTTGCTTTTTCTCTTGACAGAAAATAATTTACTGGCAGGTATCTCTAAAGGTAAGTGCTACCCCATTTTTATTTTTTCCCCAGAATAGGCAAGATTGTTAGTTTGGGAGTACCATTTTTATGTGTTTGTGTCCATATGCATGTGTGATTTGACTTCTGAGAGTCAGCTGTTGGCACACACACAGAATAATCTCATATGGTGCTTTTTAATCTGACTCTCTGCCTCCCTCTCCTTTACGATAAAAATCACAGCCTTGACTAACACAATGTGTGCATCCCCAATCTTCACAAGCTGCCACTTTTGGGTTCAAGGGGTTTGTGATAAAGTTTGGGGCATTACTGATAGCAATCAGAATCAGAAAAGTACCTGCTCAGATTATCCATATAAACAATTGAAATGAAAACATTCCATTTTACATCAGATCTACAGCAACTCCCAGAACAAAGCTTACAGTGTATAAAAATAGCTACGTAAAAAATTTACATAAAAGGCAAACCAAAAAGAAATCCTCAGTGCGACATTTACAGAAAAAAAAAAAAAGAAAGAAAACTGAACACAACATATGAACTATTATCATGGCTGCCAGAATTTGTTGTTACTGTTTGTCACTTCACTTCATTGTTTTACTGGAGATAATTCTCTAAAATTCTGTGACAGCTTGGTAGAATGAACTGTTTAATACTTGAACCATGAATTGCTGTCAATGTCTTTGTATGTGTCTTAAATACAATCCACGTTCATGCTTCAATTGGTCTATATGGTTTTATTTCTCTGAAATGATGGAAAAAACATAATTTAGATAAGTTATTACAGCAATAATTTTTACCATCAATAGTGGTTTTGTATTTAAATCAGTGCTGGATTACCCATAAGTAAGGTAAGCACAGATTTACTTAATAATCTGTAGTGAACAATTAGCCACTTTTTCACCACAACAAAGATTTTGCTTTTAGCTACAGCTGGCATCTCTCTCCCCCAACCCCACAGCACCATCATATATAATCAAAGCCTCTTTTCAAATTTACGGTCCCTGACGGGAATGGAGTACCAAGTAAGCAAGGTAAGCATGGGTTTACTTGTGCTTCCTTACTAATCTGAAGTGAACCATTTCACATGATGTCTTGAAATCCACCATGTGAAGCAGTTCACTTCAGTTAAGTAAATAAGCATAAGTAAGCCCACGCTTACCTTGTTCATTGGGTAATCCGCCCCTGACTAAAAGTGACAAGAATTACTTTAATAGGAACCTTTTTATAAAACTCGCTTGTTCTTCAGTTTACCTCTAATCCCAGGTGTTACTGCATCCCTTCTACCAAAAAAAAAAGGAAAGAAATTGTTGAGAAAATGGCTTAATTCATACTAAGATTATAATGTTTTTCAGAAAAATATTTTATTTCACTTCTCTTCAGTTTTTTTTTTTTTTTTAAGAATCTGTACTCTGTCTTTCAAATCACACTCTCTTTTTTGAAGTTTGTCTTGAAGCTCAATTTTCCTTTGAGAACTTACTCTACCCAGTTTCAAAGATTTCAAGGTAAAAAAAAAATCTATGTATGTAAGAGGCTTGGGAGAAAACTCTAAAGAAGTTGAAAAAAAAAAAAAAAATCAGGCCAGGTCATCCTATGTTTGGCTTCCAATGGAAAGCAGGATGGGGGGATTCCAATTTCTACTTCTTTTTCCCAATCAATTTGAGATATTGATTTTCTGATTTGGAAAGTATGTCCTATTTCAGTTATACTTTTTTCTCTTTTTGTGTGTATCTTCCTAACTACAATTCTTTCCCAAGTCCTTCATTCTCATTATGGGATTAACTCAAACCAAATCAAACCAAACTCACTGCTGTCAAGCCCAACACATAGCGAGCCCTCCATGGGTTTCCAAGGTGGTGCCACTGCAGAAGTAAATTGCCCAACCTTCCTTATGAGGAGTGGCTGGTGATTTTGAACTGCCAGCCTTCTGGTTAGCAGTCAAATGCACAGGTGACCTACTAAAGTTATGACTTGTAGTTTATTTATAATGAACCCAAGGGTTACTGTGGTTGTTGTGGATTTTTGGATCATAGGGGTAAGACTCAGTAAGTCATTCTCAAGGACACTCAAGATGATTTATCCAAATCACTCATATTTTTGCTGGCTCATTGGAATGTGAATAAAAAGAAAAAGCTCAAATTGCAAGGGACAATGCTGTCTCTTGAGATTGTGATATATATATACTTACATACATATAATATATATGTATATATGTTGTTGTTATGTGCCGTTGAGTCAGACCCGACTCATAGCAACCCCTCCTTGGGTTTCTGAGGCAGTATTACTACAGAAGTAGATTGCCCCATCTTCCTTCCAAGGAGTGGCTGGTGAGTTTGAACTGTCAGTCTTCTGGTTAGCAGTCAAGTGCCTCAGGCACTATGCTTCCAGAGCCCCCATATGCATATATATACTATATCTAACACTGATAATATGCATTCTACATACATGCATGTACATATTTACATACATATGCATTCATATACTGTTGTTGTGTTCCCTGAAGTCAATTATGACTTGTGACCCTATAGGACACAGTAGAACTGCTCCTTAGGATTTCCAAGGCTGTACATCTTTATGGAAGCAGATTGCTTCATCTTTCTCCCATGAAGCACTAACATTTTGGTAACCAACCAAATGATTTAACTCCTGTGCCACCAGAGCTCCTTATAGGACAGAGTAAAACTATCAATAAGGCTTAATAGGTTGTCATCTTTATGGATTATATGAAGAAGAATGTGGCAACTGTATTGGAGGAAGACTTATTAACAACCTCTGATATGCAGATGACACAATCTTGCTGAAAGTGAAGAAGATTTGAAGCACTTACAGATGATATAGATCAAATATTATAGCGTTCAGTAAGGATTACATCTCTACATAAAGAAAATAGAAGTCCTTGCAACTGGACCAATGGGCAACATTAAAATACATTCGGCACCTGGAATAAAACTCACCACCAGGGGCAAGCTCTCAGCACAATACTTAACAAGATGTACACGCAGACCACTCAACCCAGAATGCTGCACCCACACACTCAATGGTAATACATCCCTTAGAGCAATAGACCACGGGACACCAGAAGACCAACATTCAAACTGAGGAAATGCAGTACAAACAGGAGTGCATAATTATGAGGGGCACAGGGGGAGGGTTGCAGGGTAGGGAGGGGAGGACACTGGGTTAGGGTTGGACATGGTGAATGGGGAATGAAAATAAATGTATGTGTGATGTTGAATGTAAAACAAGCTCTTAAAATAAAAATAATTTTTTTTGAAAAAAGAGATCAATGGAGAAAATATTGAAGTTGTCAAGGATTTATTTTTTCCTGGATCACAATCAACAGCCATGGAAACATCGGTCAAGAAATAAAATAACATACTGTATTGGGCAAATCTGCTGCAAAAGATCTCTTTAAAATATTAAAAATTAAAGAAGCCACTTTGAAGACTAAGGTGCATCTGACCCAAGTTGTGGTAATTTCAATTGCCTCATATTTTTGCCAAAGCTGGACAATGAGTAAGGAAGACCAAAGAAGAATACACTTGAATGATGGTGTTGGAAAAGAATACTGAATATACCATGGATTGCCATGAGAATGAAGAAATCTGTCTTGGAAGAAGTACAGTCAGAACACACTTTAGAAGGGAGGACAGCAAGACTTCATCTCATGTACTTTGGAGATGTTATCAAGCAGGATAAATCCCTGAGGAAAGACATATGCTTGGTGAAGTAGAGGGTCAGGGAAAAAGAGGAAGACCCTCAATGAGATGGATTGACATCATGGATGCAACAGTGGGCTCAAACATAGCAGGGATAGTCAGGATGCCACAGGACTGGGCAGTGTTTTGTTCTGTTGTACCTAGGGTCACTATAAGTTGGAACAAACTTGGTGAAACCTACCAACAGCAACAATCGCCTTTATGAAAGGAGCTCTGGTGGCAGAGTGATAAGCTCTGGGCTGCTAACCGAAAGGCCAGCAGTTTGAACCCATCAGCTTCTCAGTGGGAGAAAAATGTATCAGTCTGGTACTTTGCTTCTGTAAATACTAAAGGGTTGGAAATCCTATTTGGCAGTTCTACTCTGTCCTATATGATTGCACTATGGGTTGGAATTGAGTCAATGACACACAACAACAACAAAGCCAACAACCATGTTAATAGGAACAGATCATCAGGTCTTTGCTCGTGAGGACATAGCTGAGTGAGTTTGAAGCACCAAACTTTCAGTTAGTAGCCAGGTGCTAAGCCATTGAGTCACTAGGGCTCCTTGCACATAAGCGCATACATGCATGTATATATGAACTGTAACTACAAAAGCACGTGTGTGTGTGT